AGTTGCATGAACTCCTCCTACCATAATTCGATTTCTCTGGTTCTCCTCACTCCTAGTGCCTACAGTTAGCTAGCAGTTCGTCGTTTCTTGCCTGCGTGCTTAGCTGCTGTCCTTGTCGACAACGACCTCCACCTCCTCCCAACGTTCCCCTCCCTTCTTCTACGCCTGTCCTTCTCTCGACCCCTCCTTCCATCCGGTCTTCGCGCAACAAGCAGCAGCAGCATGAGCATTAGCAGGACGTCCTGATCTTCCCATATGCACCCATCCTTCCCTGAGCGTCATCAAGCCCTGCAGCATCCCTCCTCTCCACCTCCACGTCTGCATTAACAAAGCCCACGCCTCCGCTCGAGATCGTCACATCCGTGCGGAAACAAATAAGTACAGCCTCGGAGAAACTGTTTGGGTTCCGATTTCTGCAGTACATCTCTTTGTTCAGGCTTTCCTTCTTGCCTTTTCGGCCCCTCATCATCATCAATTGATTACCATTCAAGTTACCCCCTCCTCTCCACACTTCCTTGCCTCCCACGCTCCCACTCAGTTATTCAGAGAACTTGGTTTTTCCGGTTGCAATTACAAAAAAAATAAAAAAATAAAATAAGTATTGTCAATTGCCTCAATTCGTTACATACCTACCTACATACCTTCGGCGCTGGTCGGCCTAAGTTGGGGGTTATTTTTATTTTTACTTCTCGCCCATCCAGTGAGATTGAGTGATCCAGGAAAAGGCTAGACATTAGTGGAGGTTAGTTTGTGGGTGGTGGCCGATTTTTTCCTCAAAGGTGTGTGTGAGTGAGAAGACTGTGAGAGGGCCTAGTGTGTGCTTGCATCTGTTAGCTTGCTTGTGCAGTCTAGTTTCTTACCTTACTTGTCTCTCTTACCCTCCTCCTCATACCCTCCTCTTCGTCCCTCTTCCCAGTAGCCCTCCTCTTCCCCTCCTCTGTTCTTTTCATTTAATTCTCCGATCCCTCCCCTCCCTTTCATGCTTTCGTGCTTCTCATCTCATACAACCTTCATCCAGCCTGGACCTCATCAAGCTAATCTGATGCCCCCAGCTCAATTCATTACAAGTCAATCAACAAACATGTCTACCTCGACCTCTCCCTCACCCTTTCCTACCTCCGACTCTCGAATTCAGTTACCTCCCATCAACACAGCCAACCTTCCAACCCCTCCATACCAATACAACAGACGTCCCCACATGCAAGAATTCGCCCCTTCCAAGTACCCCCTTCCGTCAGTGGGTTCATACTTCCCAGATTCGTACTCGAATTCCGGTTCTGCAGTATCATCAGCAGCATCGACACCTGCTGGAGCTGGATTTCCAGTAGATGCCTCAGCTGAGCCAACACGCAGGAGCACCAGGTCTACAGTTGTGAAGAAGCATTCCATTTCTTCCCTTCTATCTTCACCGGATTCAGTTTCTAGTGATAGTTCTGGGGTTTCTTCGCCATCGGCATTGTGGTCTGAAGAGAACTCACCCACCACTGCTTCAACTAGTACTCGCAGTAGCTCTGTAGCTAGCAGCCCATGGACACCGGCAGCACAGACAAACTACAGAGATTCATTTGAGGTTGATTTGTCAAGGAGGAGGGGCAGCCTCTTGGGATTCGATCACATGGACATGATGACCGACCAGAAAGTTGGTGCAGATATCAACGGAGCAAAAAGGAAGAGCAGGAGGTTAGTCCAACTTGGTACTCCGTATAATAATGAGGAGCATTGGAAAACTGATTTGTGGCTGCAGTTCTCCCAGAACTAGTACCAACTCTACTAGATGTGGCGGAGATGAATATGATGTTCTTGGAAGGAAAAAGTAAGCAATATATCTTCTTTATATTGAATTCACAATACTAATTTTTTTTATTTAGGCCCAAGACTCCTCGCACCCCCATGTCATGGGACCCTCAAGACGATATCTTGCTCAAGCAATTGAAGGAGGAGCAGAGACTTGGCTGGAAGGAAATCGCAACACACTGTAGGTCTAGAATATTAGGTTATCAAAATATCATATCACTAACATATTCACAGTTCCCGGTAGAACTTCCCATGCTTGCCAGTTCCGCTGGCGCCGTCTTGCTTCCGGTACTTTGAAGTACTACCATGGACACCGCCGGCCTCCCGTTGTTACAACCACTTCGTCTTCTTTCGCAAGCGAGATGGCATCCACAGCAGCAGCCGGAGCTATCTCTAACAGCCCAAAGTTACTAATGAGCTGTATCAACAACCAATCACCGGCTCCTGTGACCAATCCCAGCACACCACAGATGCATCACTCGATCCCCCCATCGATGCCCCATTATGCGCTTTCTACATCGGAATCTCCGATTCGCCAAAATCACTACTACCAATCATTGGCTCAACAGAGACCATGGGGTCATTCCGGCTATTCGGTGCCAATGCACACGTATCAAGCTCCACAACTTCCATCCCCGGCTTCGTCCTCTTCCCGATACCTCGAGCCCTGGACACCCGCTGAGGATGAAATCTTGGTAAACAAAGGCCTTTCATTCAATGAAGTCAATATTCTTCTCAGCAAGAGAAGTGAGAAGGAGATTTGCGACCGTATGGCCAAGTTGAGGTCCGAGAAATGGCTAGAACCTATGCAACACAACTCGGGCTTGTCCCCGGTCGCCGACTCAAGAATGCTTCGCAGCCAGAACTGGGATGGGCAATGAGCGGCCAATGACCACAACCCATACTTTTCTTTTTTTAATTAGATCAACAACTCGCCTGCCCTGGATCGATTGGTGTTTTGGTATATTAAAGGTCCATCAATGTCTTATGCTTACACGATTTTCTTTGTTTACTACTCTATTTTTATGGATACTTTTTGGGGTTAAGGAGCATTTGGGGGTTTGGGTTTATTTCTGTTTTTCTTTTACTGGAACATCTGGATTCGGTGTCTCTTCTCCCTCCTCGGTGTTTTCTTTCCGGTTTGGCGCTATTATATTACATGATTAACGTGGAAATCGAGAGGATTGGCCACTGCGATAAATTCTTTGGCGGAATTCGCTGCTTTCGACATTTTGTTTTTACATTCCTTTTATTTTCTGGTGTTGCTTGGAGTTTGGTTGTTATTTGGTTCCGGTGTTTCGAGACTTTTCAGCGGACAGGCGCCGTGAAGTACAAATCTCATGAAGTTACGAACGACATGTCTAAAATTGGGAAAGAGGTTTTTTACGACTTGAATGAATCTGGGGGAGTTACAGTAGATGATAGATTTTGAAAGCTTATCATTTGGTCTTTTCTTTTGGACTTTCATTTGTCTTTGGCAGGATGGTTACCTCGGTTGGGTATTGGGCGATACGGGGTTATTACCGGAGTACTTTACATCTATTTTTCTATCTCTTAGTATTGGAAAGACTTTTTGTCCGAATTTACTTTACTTTGCGATAAATCTCTGGCTGCATAGACGATATCAATTGGAAGCTACAGGTTATTCTACTGAACAGATTTTTTTCTTTTTTCATTTTCACTAGTGCACGGATAAAACAATTACTTTGTGGGCTCATTAATTCTTCCAGACATATGCACGAATCCCGATTATGCACCCATACTCCACTCCCATAGGGCAGACAACCCATGGACGTCCGGCTGCGATGAGATAGACATCCATTCCACCAACGGGCAATGACGAATAAGCCATACCACCGGCTAGTACCCAAGCACTATATCTTATCTGTAGAAGCGGGCTTTATATTGAGTCCCGATATTACCACCATCATCATCGCCTCCACCACCGCCGGCACCACGGCCACTATCACCATATCACATCATTAACCATTTGAGTATATCTAGCCCACAGACCCTACCCTACCCCCCATCCACCCTACCTACGCACACTTTCCACCTACATACATATGTACATACAGGATACAGGATACAGGATACAGTGGCGGCCTGAGTGTAGAATTGAGCAGCAGGAGCAGCAGCAGTCTACAGTAGTCACGCGCACTTCGTGGCACTTGAGCGGAGAGATGTGCGTTAGCTTATACATACATGCCTAGTATCTTATGTACAATTACCGTGCCGAAAACTGCCCTCGACGTATGTACATACATGGATGGATGGGGGTGGAATGGGGCGGACAGGGAGACGGTGAGGGAGGAGGAGGGGGAGGGGAGCGGCGTTACTCTAGCCAGCTAGGTATACTAGTTAGCGGGAACTAGAGTTAGTAGCACTGAGGTTAATGCTGCCACTAGGTAGGCGGGTATGGGGACCGCATATGGTTGCTCTTGCGCTAGAGTAGGAATATGTATCAGGGTTGGGAAAGTATGGTATGGGTAGCCGCCTAGTGTATGTGTAGTTGGCCCGTGTCGAAATCAATTCGATAAAGAGGGAAAAAATTTCCTTTTCCCTTTTTGGTACGTTTGCAATTGAGGAGTGGGGTTAATATTGGTGGGTTTTTTTTCTTTTCTTTTCCTCTTATAATTAAGGTTTTAGTTTGTGAGGTTGTGTTAAGATATATATATCATGGGGACGTTATGGGTTATGGGAGGTGGGGATTACATTAGTTAATCAGTTACATAAGTTTGCCATTGGGAGGGGCGTATCTTGAACTGTTAACTGAGTGCTCTGCATGATCAATACCGGGCTCTACTATTACATACGCGCGCTTCTTCCAATTGAGAGCTCATCTACTCTATCCAGTACCAAAAGATCCCCACCCAGACCGAGCACTCTACCACAACGTGAGGTTATTTCTTTTTTCCAACTCTTCTATCTCCTCTTTTTCTTTCTTTCTTCTTTTGCCCTATTCTGGACATCTACTATGATGCACGGCGGAGGATTTCGGGGGGGTCCGTGTTGTGCGTAGAGGCAGGCAACGAACATACGTGTCGATATAATTTTTTTTCATGCTTCCTTGCCTCCTCAAAGTCCTACTCTACACCACATAACATGGCATGGAATCTAGGCGAGCTAGTGCTGCTACTCAATTCGATGTAGTTAGTTGGAAAATAATTGCATAAAACGGGCGTTGGACGTAGACGCGAATCAAGATGAGGGACATGGCCAATGCCCAATGTCTTGCCGTGGAGATGGAAAATTACTCGAATTCGTTCCTAAATGCAATTCTTTTTTGGCCTGAGGAGAAGCATGATGACCTTTTGCTCCTCGCTCCGGAAGAGCAATTGTGCGGACTAGTATGAGCCTACTATGAACATAGTCCTGGTATGAGATGTACACACCCTGCACATCTGAGAACCGGGCTAAGAAAAGAAAACCAGCTAACCTACACAGCTAACTAACTACAAGGCCGAGATGGATTCCCATCCCTACATCGAGATTCAGACTGGTCTATCAGTCCATCCCATCGCGATGATGGATGGATGGCCTCGTCACCTCACCTCAGTCATCAGCACGAGGTTCTTTTTCCATGGGATTCAAGTTATGTAGTTGGCTGGCCATGGCTGGCTGACAGGCTGTAAAAGGGTTGTTTCGTCTCATTTAATTTGGTCCAGCTTACTTACTTTCTCGGTAGGTATCCCTAGCGAAATAAAGAAAGAAATTCGGAGAAATGACTGTCTTCATCGAATCCGACGTTGGGGTGGTGTGCCAGCTAAGCTAACCACAACCCCAACCGCCATCATCGACATGAGCGGCTGAGACATGCTAGTAGCTACCCTACACTAGCTTCCAAGTCAATTCAACTCCACGAAAGCCAAGGATTTCCAGAAAGAAAAGGTCTTCTGGAAGCCAGCCTTGCTCCGAAATCTATTTCTGTAACGCCGTGACCCAAGTAGGTCAGTGCTCCAGGGTACACACAGGAGTGTAAGTTGTGTCGGCAGTTCGCTCGGATGGACAGATGAAAAATATGAGACATGCATTGCATACTGATGTGTTTCTGCCAACTGTTGGGCAGAAGCTAGGGCGTATCACATCTGCCAAAGCAGAGCTGTACTCACAAGCTTATTATTTTCCTCCATCCTGAAACGTAAAATAAGGAGTAGGAAATGGTAATAAGTGGAGTAATATTAGTCGGTTGTGTTTCTTCCTGTTGTGTGGTAGTTAAAGCTCACCGTGACAGGGGTAAATATGTAGAGGAGTGACGACATTGAGGTGAGAGTATGGTGATGGTTAGAAAGAGTGTAGGTACATTAGTAGGTAGATGCAGGGAGAAGAAGCAGGCAAAGTAAGAAAGGCTGTTCTAAACTCCGACGCAGGTGGCACATAAGTGTTTAAGAGAAAGAAAGCTTGTTCTTTCAAACCTAGCCTTATCCGTCCTGGGATTGGGTTGTTCAATATTGGAGTATTTACCGAGTGATATACAGTGAAGCCGTGATCCGTGAGAAGAGTGAAGTCTCTCATCTTCTCCATGTCGGTAGCTCGCACAAATCAGGCGACAAAAAAATTTCCGGAGACGATCTTTTTTAATTTTGACGTCGGAACAGTAGCCTACCATACGGCTAGGAAAAGGAAGGGAATGTGCACTTTCTGTTTATGTGCATTACGGGTTATCACAGCTTCGCGCGGTGAGAACAACATCATACTCTACCGAAACCCCCACGAGTGTACCTACATACGTACAGTTAGTTGTTCGTTGCAATGAATAATAAGTCTATGACGTTTACAAGTTGAATGATCGACCCAGGCCATAATGATATGATGTGATACTGTTCTGAAAAAAACGGGGTACTTACGTGAAGCCAAAGTGAAGAAAAACATGTAACTATGTGTCGATGGCTCAAACCTAACCCTGGCTGAAGGTGGTGTTGCTGGCCCATGGATGGGGGCCGGGCGTCTAACGAGAGGATGAGAGGGTGCGCCAAGAAAGCCACAATACCATCGCCCATTTAGGGATGGACGTTGCGACTGAAGCTGCACGATCTCCAAATAAGACAGTCGCCTAAATCATCATCGTCACTCATTCATCCATCGTTATTAGTAATCCTTTGAGTTCTCTCGGTTCGACCAAATTTCTCCGAGGCGCCTTGACCAGGAATTCGAATTCTCGTGAGTTTCCTCATGTCCGTTTTTTTTTTGTCAGCTGTTTCGTTCCGGAAGTTGCCGTATAGTAGGCTCTTGATTTCTGTTATCGATAGAGCGATAGAGAGAGACACAGGGCTGCGGCTCTGCTACTGCTCTGGCAGGGGTTTACGTGTCGACCGATGACGATACCCTCTGGTCCGTGCGTGCGAAAAACTTTTTTGGTGCCCTCTCCCTTGGTGACGCGGGATGTACATTGATGATCATTGACCAAGTCATCAGGGGTAACAAAGTTTTGAAACTCAATACTGGAAGCGTTTACTTAAGGTGTGAAGTTACGATTAAAAACAGGCGAGATGATCGGTACCTTGCATGTCTGTTTCTGTCGCGGGTGGTGCGTGCCTGAGGAATGAATGACGCCGGTACCGGTGTTATTCGGAATTGATGGCGGATCCTGCAGTATGCGCAGGAAAAAGTTCGTCAGGGTTACTGTCAAAACTATTATGCTTGCTGTGTGTACATACCGCGGAAAGTTATTTTCTTGCGAGAAAGCGGCTGATGTATGTGCCTACCACATTAGAATATTCGGTGTAGAAAATTTTTCTCAGATGTAAGTTTTGGGGGGGCAAGACGTCGCGTTTTGAATGTGTTGAGGATTGTAACCTCGCTTACGATCGCAACGGTGAGGTCAATAAACATCACTATCAAGGAAAAACATTCTTTGTGTAGTTGATTTGGTTGGAGGAAATTTAATAGTTTTTTCAATAGTAATATTGAAATCCCTGTTATTAGTTTTTGGATTATGGTATTACGGCAGGGATGGGCCCACTTGATAATAGGACTAGTTATGAGTGCGGTTTCAAAAAGCGACGCGTGCTGATAAATACCACGAGGTCGAAGCACACCGAGTGATCATCGGTGACGGAAATAACGTTTAGTAGCAAAGGTCATGAGACAAAAAATTGTAAACTTTTCCGTGGCCCCGCGTTGACTCGATTTCGGTAGGGCATAGTACGTAGATTGTTGGAAATAATGTTGATCTCTTATAAAGTCTCTATATCTTGGGATACTTGATTGTTTCGAAAAATACGTTAGCTACGTTAGCTACGTAGCTGTAAGTATTTTGACCATTATGTATTGGAGATGAAAAGATGACTTAACACGTATTGCCACGGGTTGGTTCTTAATCTGCTTTGTCCAAGCATATAACCAGATTCCAGTGTCCTAAAACCTATGCCTCTTACCCTCGCCAAAAACTTGTCTCGTCATTCGATGGTATCACCGCAGGCTTTCCCACAGTCTCGAGGAAATGAAATATCTCGCGGTATCTCGTCCTATATAATTCTCTGTTTTCCCACCGTTATTGGAGTTTCTGCGATGGGAGATGTAGGGGACTGTATGTCGTCTTATACACTCGGGATACACTCGGGGAAACCAAAACTAAGGGTGGCTAAGGTCCATATTGCCTTAGTTGAAAGGATAGAAGGTTGTAATTAATCTCTAAGATATTAACTTCTGATGTAGGCTCTATACCTGATAGAAACCTTCATCTGTATTAGTATTGAAAAATACCTCAGCAAACTTGTTTTTGATGATTGGAACATCAACAAAAATAGCTCATGCATCGTCGGTTTCGAGAGATAGATTTTTGAGGTTGTAGAGGTTAAGGGATTGTTGAATCAAAGAAATTGTGATAATATTAGTGTTCGTCTTTTTCTCCCTCCGGGTTCCGGCGAAAAAGCGGAGTGTTTTCATCTCCAAGGCGCTCAAACCCGTCAGACAGGGAGTACCGGAGTTCCAAGTATTCCAGTCTTTCTATGAGCCGCTCTCATCTCAATTACCACTAGTATCTGAAAGATTTGGCTTCAACTGGGTGTGATGTGGTTTTGCGAATTTTCGAATTTCCTTTAGTGCGGGGCAAAAACGACAAGAGGGGATCGATACTTTTGTAGGTCGCTGTAGTTTCGAGACAAAATGCTGGAAGATCTTTCTCTGTGAGCCATAGGTGCTTGTATCTCCCATACGTGCTCTTTGTTTTCTCTTATCTAAATGATCTACTTCAAAGTTGTTGTGGCCAGAGTAGATGGAGCTGCCTAAGGAACTGAAGCCGAGTACATACGTCAGCCGTAGATATGCGGGTAAGGAGCCCACTTTCTATGGTGGAGATAAAGATGAAATGGGTTATCTCTCACGATAGAAGTTGGTATTGCTCGAAGAATGTCTTAAGACTTGTATTGGAGCCGGTGACTCAACAAAATTTCTGGTTTTCAAGGTCTCAAGGCTTACATAGCCTTTGCTCTCGGTGTGAGCTATGTAGTCTGCATCTTCTAGTTGTTAAAGCAGGTAATGTAAAGGTGTTGATCGACTGCTCTTTCGTGATGATACAAGTCTCGAGACTCGTAGTATGCTCGTCACCGGACAGGAGGCGGTGATGAAGTGACTCAGAAGACGTTGTGGGGTTGTGCAATGTTACTGGAGCCGGTCGGGCTACGATCAAAAGCTTAATTCGGAGCAACGTGTAAAATACCCCAGCAAGGAGTACTTTTCAGAACTGGCCGCGTATGCCAAAGATCTAAACTTTCACCCACCCGCAATCAGATGAGATAAGCTAGGAAAGGGCCAAGATCCAGGTTAAAGGTATCAAAGAACATGCTATCGACATTGGGTTGGATGTCCCAGCGGTATTTGGCCGAGCCATTGTCTCAATACCAGCTGTGTCTTAAATAATGCGTGCGCGTTCAACCCACGCTGACTTCACACCATCCGGTGGTGATTTCGGCGGAAGATTACCAGCTTCCACCCCGGCCGCAGGGGATGGGAGTTGGGAACTTTTTTTTATTTCCTTTTTATTTCTTTTATCAGTGAAGGGGTAAATATCTTGTGGTAATTCGCTTTAAGTATCAATTTTTTCGCTCTTTTTCTAACGAATAAATATCCTGCGATTCGCTCCACAATACTAATTTTTTCATCTGCTGTTTTGGTATTGTGGTCATGGATTATCACTCGAGCACGTGATCTTGGACTTTTAGTAGTTTGGGTTTAGATTTTCTGGTGGGTGCGTTGCGCATAGTGTTCTTATTGTTAGTAGCAATCTTCTAGCTAGTGGAGGTTGGTGTGTTTCAGTTTGCGTGGGGTTTGAGTTAGTACTGGGTAAGGTATTGATTCTGGCCGGCTTACCCAACAGATACTTCGTCCGTGTCTTTCCCGGATGCTTCGAGGTATT